AATTCCTTGATGCATACGAGGAAATTACATTTTGTTATCTTAAAAGAATAATAAATTATAACATGTTCTAACCAATGTTTTTAAAATCGGACCGGACATTGAACCGGTGAAGGTACTGGTTCACTGGTTCACTGGTTCAACCGGATTCAATCGCGGTTGAACCGTATTTTATATAAAATAATATTTTTTTTTAATTTTACATAATATTCAAAGCAATATTAATATATATGTAACACTTTTTTTAAGTTTACAATATTAAAAGGTATAAAAATATTACAAGTCATAACATATATAAATTAAAAACCATAAAATCAAGTGAAACAAAATGATTCAAATCAACTACAACATAATATTTAAGGTAAAACATATTAAATAATAAATATAATTATATAACTATAATAAAAAAATAAAATTGGGGCTTAAAAAAATCATAACAAATGATGTCATTTGGTTTAATTTTTTAAAAAAAAAACAATCCCACATGGCTAAGAAACATAGAAGATCATCTCAACTTACTTCTATAAATAATAGAGGTAATTTGACATTCAAAATCATAGAGCCTTTTGGTGAGCACAGAGTGAACTATTCTTTCGCTTCAATTGAGCTCAAATTTTAGGCTTCAATCGAACTTTTAAATTTTTTTTGAGTTCAAGCCTTTTCGAGTTCAAGTTTTAATATTATATTTCGAGTTCAAGTTGAACTTGATAATTTTTAGCTCGTGAGTTTTTGAGTTGAGTTGAACTTTTAAAGTTTTCGAGTTCGAGTCGAGCTCAGCAATACTCGAATTTGACTTGGCTCGTTGAACAAATGACGTCATTTGGTTTTTTTTTAAAAGAAAAAAAGTGAACCGGTGGTTCAAACCGGTTTTGCCGGTTTTCAGTTGGTTCACCTCGGTTTTATCGGTTTTCAGTCGGTTCTACCGGTTTTCATCCGGTTCATTGTCAGACCGGTTTTGTGAGGTAACCGGACAGGCCACCGGTTCACGGTTCAACCGGTTGAACTGGCCGATCCGGTCCGGTTTTGATAACCATGGTTCTAACATAAAATTTCTGATTTAATTTTTTTAAAATTGTAATTTGATACTAATTCTCTACATAAATTTTTTAATTTGTGTATTTTTAACTTTTTTTATTAGTTTGAGTGAATACAAGATATTATATGTTTAACGACTCTTATTCATTTAATATTACTCATTTATATCCTAGATACATCATTTTTAACTTTGATATTATTTGTGGTTAGCGTATTAACCATTTATTTATGATCCTAATTTTTTTACATAAACTTGTGCACTTTTAACTTTTAATTTAAAAGTAAATTCAATAGGTTGCTGATGAGAAGAATGGTGGGGAAATGAAATGGGTGAAAACAAAAGTAGACATAGATGAACATGTTAAAGTCTCCATGATCGATCAAGATATGGCCTCCTCCGATAAGTTTGTTGAAGATTACGTTGCCAACCTTAGCAAGACCCAGATGAACACATCCATTCCAATGTGGGATTGCCATATTTTAAACCTCAAAACCTCCGATGCCGAATCCACACTGGTGTTTCGAGCTCATCACTCCCTTGGAGACGGAACATCTATCTTGTCGCTGATACTCTCTTGCTCCGACACATTGCCGAGCTCTTCGGCGAAGAAGGAACCGAGATCAGCCTCTGCCGGATGGTTTCCGATTCTATCTCCCTTGTTGTTAACGTGGAATACGTTGGTTGATGTATGTACGTGTGCAGCAACAACGTACTTGTTGAAGGACACCCAGACACCCCTCAAAGCACCTTCGAGTAGTGTTGCTTTTACTCCTTGGAGAATTGTGCGTCGAACTCTCTTTCGATGATGTCAAACTGGTGAAGAATGCAACCAACACCATTAGTCACTGAAATTTGAATTTATTTTTTTAAATTTTATTTATGCTAATTTATTTTATATTATTATAATATATGTTCACCCTAGAAAAATATTTCTTAATTGGTCATTCGTATGAGTTAAAATCTATTTTATTGTAATGCATACGGTAAATGATGTGATGCTTGCAATCACTCAGACTGATTTGTCTCGTTATCTGAATCGAAAATACGGTAATTATGATTTCAAATCAATCCAAAATCATCATCGACAGAATCACGTGTAAAGTAATAAAAAGTATATTTTATATTTGATCTTGACAATTATTCTTGTATTAATAAGTGTATACGATAATAAGTGTATACGATAAGGCAGGCGAAGCTAAAAGTAATAATGGAGGAGCAAGAGAATGGGAAAACAACCTTCCCAACAATATTCGTCTTACAGCGACTCTTTTCGTCAACTTGAGAACATCTCAACAGATTTACGTAATTACTTAAGCAGTACCTTTTCTTTTCATTTCTTTCTTTATTTTATTGAATCTCATTATAATTAATTTACAGCCCTTGGAAGAAATGGTGAAGAGGAATAGCAAAGGCGAGTGGGGGAACAAGATTGGTTTTGTTCTCTTTTCTTTTAAAGTTGGATTGAAAGACAACCCGTTGGATTACATTAAAGATGCAAAAGCAAGAATGGATAGGAAAAAAACTACACTTGAAGCTAAATTCACTGTTTATGGCTAAGGTTTTCGTAAAGTTTTACCGTACCAAAGTAAGATATACTGTTCATGCTAAATTTTCTACGTTTCCATATTAGAAAAAAAAAAGTGTATTGAGAAGGAAAATATTGATGGTATATTTGCAGATGGGCAGTTTTCCATTAACAACTAGGTGGCTCTCGAACATGGCGGGACCTCAGGAGGAATTTAGCCTTTCTGTAAATCGAGTCACTTTCCTCTCTGGATCTTTGTATGGTCAGCCAGTTGTAAGTTTCCTCTGAAACAAGTTTACACGATGTACAACTCGAAACTGAGATTACGAAGCTTCCAAAACTTTTAACTTTATTGTTCTGCCAAGTTCTCGTTAAAGTAACCTTAACAAGTTGAATTTCATGATTGTTTGTATCTCTTCTAAACCTCCTTTGTAACTTGCATCTTTATTATTATTTTTATGATAGTCTGAGTTTTGAAATTTATAAAATTCTATATTTTTCAATCAGTTATAATCTTTTTACATGATTACTAGTAGATTAACCCGTTAAATCTATTATGCGACTTGAATATATTTACGTTTTCAATCATCGTGTAAAGATGGAGAGAGAGGATGACATACTCTCCCTCTTTTCTATTTAAGTAATCATGTTTTCTATTCCACTGAAGAACCGTATGCAGTTCTCAACCTAAACTAGAAGGGTAATCAGTTAAAAACACCAGGATCCCATTTTTCTTATCAACGGATTGATTTACCGATTTAGGGTTTTATTTTGCAGGCGCTGACAATTCATATCATTAGCTAAGGGAAGAAGATAGGCATGGTGCTGTCAGTGGATGAAAACATAATTTCCAACCCATATGAGTTGTGTGATGATTTTGAATAAGCTCTCAAACTCACAAAACTATGATATTGAAGCAACTCTAAACTCATCAAGACTGTGATGTTGGAGAAACTCTCCAACTCATCAAGAATACGGTCATTGCTTTGAAGGTGTAACATGCAATTAAAGAATCATCTGTCGGTCATTTCCAATAACAGTAATAGGCAGTGGACGTAATAAGTTTGCTTAAATAATTTTAGAATGACGTCCACTCTTTTACTTGTTTTTTTTTTAAATAGGATATCATGTTTATGAACTACGTTCACCAAGTACAGTGGTTAAGTCTCGAGTAGTAATGCTTATTTTGTTTAATATTCTTGAAGGGTTTATTTTCCTATTTGTGGCTTATTTTGTTTAATAGCCTAATGGCTTCACCTCCGTAAGAGCAAGGTTCACTTGACAAACGTCCATTAATTTAGTATAAGACTGTTGAACTATTCAACCTTTATAAAAACGCAATACCATTTGCATAATACTAACATCATTAGGTGCCATGTTTCACAACTTGTATGGAAAATTCAGAGTTCCTAGCCTTAATATACACACAAATGAATGAGCTCTCAACCAAGACTGGGTTCAGATTCAGACAATGACCCTGAATCGCAAGGAATGCTGAAATAGCAGGCAGTCGAACCAAATAAATCAACTAGCATCTTCAATTGTAGATTCATATATTTTACACAAACAATTAGTATCCACCTACAGTCCGTCGTAGCAATCAACCTTATCTGCCATGAGATGAGCTACTAAACAATGAATTCTTTTTTTTAAAAAAAAATAGATAAACAAGTACCATTTTGAAACAAAATAATTACCTGACGTGAGTCGTGCGTCGGAACTGGAACTATAACAACAAAGTATCTGCTTTTTTTTCCTTTTGGAAGGGGAGAACAGATCGGTTCAGAATTCTGATTTCATGAGCTTCACTCGAGGCTTTATACAGATGTTGTCAAAGGGTTTCCCTTGTTCTACATGGATGTAAATAATCTTTCGTCTTCAGAACCTGACAAAGGGGAAATTAACACAGAAACAATGCACAGCCTCGAGATTTTATGACCATGTTTATATCACATTAATTTCCATCCATGTCCAGCAGACTAACCTATAAGCTTACGTAAGAATGGATCCTAACATTCTTAACAAAGTACAACGTTTGTTGATAAAGTAGTTTACTGAATAATGCTTAGCTCTATTAATCATGTAAACAAATATTTATATATATGCTTCTACAATTGACTACCTCAACAACTAAACACTAACAGCTAACTACCAGTTAACTTGTATAACAAACTTTAACAACGTTGTTTTTTCTACTTGAAAGTTGCAGTTTATTTTTTTTTTATAAAAAAAATGTTCAACTTTATCCTTACCGAACTTCATGTTTCACAATAATGTTGGAATATCTTTCATTTGCATCTCCAAAATTGGTCTCTGTTTAAACGAGAACATTATTTTGTATCGGTAGTGGCACAGGAGTCGCGTATTTGAATACATCCTGAGGGCCAAATATAATTGAACGTTAACCAAAATAATTTGTTGACGCTTAATCATACTCGAATGTCAATTAAAACGAGGAGCCTTAATTAAAGCAGTTTTGTTACTAAAACCAATTGAAAGGCGAAATGCTTCTCACTTCTCTCATACTCTACACAATTTATAAATGAAATTAAACAAACACCACTGATGACGGTATAAAAATTGGGCACCAGCTCAACTCCTATTCACACCACGTAAGAAAATCACTCCGGCAAAAAAAGTTGTGAACATTTTCTGTTTGCTGCTCCATCAACCACCACAGACAATGGTCGCATGCGATTTCGTTAACATCTTCCCGGTCATACTTTATGGACTATGCAGACGCCGGAGATGATCGACCACATCAGAGGAAACACTAAGCCTTTGATAGTCGGCACGGTGAAGACGATTTCCTTGAACTTGTACAGAATCTCTAGGCTTGGGATCAATCTTTTTGGCTGAACAGCAGTGACGAACACGGATCCGATGATTCCTTGTCTCCATCGTATACCTGCCATGAGCTTTAACCACCAATATAGCTTCCTTGTCTCTGTCGTCTTCGCACCACCAGTTCTGTGGAAAACCATTAACAAACTCTTCTTGAGTGTGGAATGCCTCAAGATGAACTGATACCTCGGCTACATGATCTGGTTTAATTATGCCAGCAGCTGGAGTAACCTGGCCAAACATCACAAAATATGTAGTCGGCTTTTACCTCCAAAGATCAACAGGCAGAATAATAAAGATAATGAACTAATTTAAGTCATATTTATGCAGGGAATTACTAAATTCTAAGATCTATAAAGCTTGTAAACATGTCTAGCCATATTCTACGTTACATGATAGACATGATTTTGGGGTTTTACAAACAGAATCGATGCCTAAGCATGAAAAATTCGTAACTTCAAAGGAAATACCCCTTTAAACAGACACAAAACAGGCTGCCAAAAGCCCCTAAACCAATTTTAATCTGCTCTATAAATCTGCAGCAGTTCAAATTTGATCAAAATATAATCAAGGCTGCATCCGAAGCACACTGATGGTAAAACACATTAGATCGAAAAGTTAGATACATATGTAGCTCCAAAGGCAACCATTGCGTATTCCAAATCCATGTTCCATCAACTGATTCTTTCAATATAAATGATTTCAAAACCCTAGCAATATGGACCCAACACCAATTCTTATCCTTTCTTTTCAATCAAACCCAACCTTAAGCACCTGCTAGAAACAACAACCCACCTAAAACAAGAAAACCTACCTGAAGCCACCGTGGAAGGCCAAAGGAACCTCTTGGATGATGATATGATGCCTGCTCATCATCCTTGATTGTAGATTCACCTTGGCAAACTATTTCGAACAAAGCAATGCTTTCCTTGCATTTATTTGTTATGCGCAAAATTGATGTATCCTGGTTTTGGAGGAGTATATTGTTGGTGCTGACAATTGTTTCTGGAATTTTGCATAATTCTTGAAGCTTGCATCTAAATTCCTCATTTGATCGCACTATATCTCCAAATTCTTGTCTCCTAACTGACTCGTCAATGTGGGCAATTTCAACAGAAAATATGCAAATGACAGGCTTGTGATCACTGTCTGTCACATCCATGCAAGACTCATACCTATTCAAGAGGATATATCAGGATTTATTCAAGATAATTACAAATGTATAAAGAGATGATAAGAGATTGCAAGTCTGCCCTGAAAAAAAAAGCTGCATGTTCAAATGGGTAAATGCTAACCAACTTACCCCATATTCCAAAAAAGGAACAGAAAGGGGGTGAAAGACAAGAAAAACCATTAGTCTGCCATGACCTTTTCAAACACAATCCTAAAATTTCAATATCTACATCTGTTCTAAATCCATTTATCCATCGACATGATGTTAGCATACTATCGAATTCCCCATGAGGCACTTTAGTGGACATAACATAAAAATTCTGTTCATATTCTGACAAAGAGTTGACAGGATATATGGATTTGAAACAAATTCAAAAAGCTGTGAATAAATGATTCAGTCAGTTCAGATCTCAGATAAAAGACTAAAAATTGCTAAATGTTTGAAATCGTTTTAAAAAAGTTGATAACCACATAGACTGTTAAAGCACTGTCCTCACCAGAAAGAATCACAACAGATTATGAGGTCAATAAGAGCATAAGGTTATTGTAAAGATATTAAACAATTCCTAAACATTGCCAAAATAGAAATCAATAGAACTTACTGTGATACAGAAGATACAACAGGACACTCTAAACTGCATTCAGATCCCAAAGTTTGCCGGCTATCTCGGTATAAGATTCTGTCACACCAGGCAGGAATGCGTTTCTTTTCACCAGAATCATAACCTTTAAAATAAGCATTAAAAAATGTAATTTTAGCCAATCAAATACATTAAAATTCCTAGGAATAATAATAATAATAATACCTTTCACTACAAAGAAACACTTTTTCCTAAGCCCCTTGTGAAAAATATCTTAATAGACTACTTAAAACTTTAACAAAAGCAATCACTGAACCACTTTATGAATCATAAATTGTACAGAGTCAAAGGTAAAACAAACAAACACTAATAGACTAATATTAAGTTTAGAAACAAGATGAGGAATTCATAACATATAAAGTACCTGATAAACCAGCTACATGTTTATCAAATTTGTACGTGGGAGCAAAAGTAATTGCTGCTTCTCGCATCCCCTGGAAAACATTTCCAGCTTCCATCTCTGTTCGGAGTTGATCCCTTTCTCTAAGCCAATCAAAGCTTCTTTGAGATATAAAATCTCTTGCTTCATCATATGACACATCATCAAGACGATAATTAAAATCACCAAGAAATACAATCATGTCTGCCTCAGATAATTCAGGCATTCCTTCAACAGACTGGGCACCCATAGCCTGTATAAGCATCAACTCTCACACACTAACCGGAAATGAAGAATACTTTAGAAGGCAAGTGAAACAAAACCATAGCATATACGTACATTAGCTCCACGAGCCATTTGAACAGCCGACGAAGCACCAGCTGCAATAGAAAGGACCAATAGCAAGCTAGATTTATAAACAAGCCAAAATAAATATATTGACCAGGCAAGCGTGCAACAAAATAACAGGTACAACACCATACCAGCACCAGCATTGAAGAGATTAGATGGTCGACCAAATGACATTGTACGATATACATGGTCAAAATCAGCATTTCGACGACCGACGGCTTCCAAATGAGCAGCAAAGTGACAATTAACAAAGCAAAAAATCTTGTCATACACTCTTAGTCTTAAACCAACAGCTCCCTGGGTGAACAATCAAATGTATATTATTGTTAAAGGAAAACCTATCAATTGATAAAGTTATCATTCCTAAACAAACTTTATTTCACAAGTCAAAAACAATGTATTTTCTTTCTTGTGACTTTTTATAGCCAATCACAGGCAAACTACATATCCAATGAGAGAAGTATAACTCTTTTAATGATTTAATAAATTGTGCTTATTAATTTAAGAACTACACAGTAGGAAAAAAAACAGTGACAAAGTTCTTCTCATAGGCAATTATAATCTATTTTCCTGACCTTAATCTAAGAATCACCAGAATACTAAGAAAAAACCATATTTCTGTTTCCACTTTCCACATTACTCTAGCTCGATTTAATATCAGAGTGTATGATATACATTTATAATGAAGAAAATATACTTCCACATGATGCATGAGATTATGCTTATTTATTGATATCTACAATATATAGAACCAAATTATTTAGGCATAAGATTATGTGTATACATTAATTATAGTAATATTTCTTAATATCTCGGTTACATAGAACCATATTGCTTGCATATCATGCCTATTTAAGAAAGAATAATACCTTGTTACCAATAGCACGCCCAAAGCCGCATGGAACTGCAGAAGCATCAATATCCCCAACATGTGGTTTAAGATTATCCTTTACCCTAAAACATAAATTCAACAAGTAATATAAAAAAAATAAGGAAACAAGAACTAATAAAATATGAAAGGAGACTCGTGTAAATGATTAAGAAAAAAAAAAGAGATCCATAACAAGACTAGTCCTAGCATATTACGACAGAAGGTTTCTTATGGGATTCAAATCATTTAATCAGAGGAAGCTTGAATAACTTTTCTATTTACCTTTTAAAAATGAAAATTCTTAGGAACTAATATTTTCTCCTATTGTATTTTATTCCAAAAAAAAAAGTTTACTTGGTAAGTAAATAGAATAGAATGATCTAAGTGCTCGCTTAGAAGCCTAGTCTGCGAAATATTCTGAGACAGTTCCTTTAATGACAATGCAAGCATGGGCATTGAAGTCAAATTCATCATTAAAACTGCACAATCTCTTTACCACTCTCGTTCCACATTGATTTGAGAAAGAAAACAAATAACAGACAGCATTGTTTAAAGGTTATTCATTTAAACAGAATTACCACAGTTTTGAATAAAGGAATACCATCATTGTGATAAACTGAAATGAATTCAAAATCAAAATTTTAGAAAAGAATGGATCTTAATCGAAAAGATATTTTCTTAGAATTTTCTCTAGGAAGAATCCCAAAAACAACCCTTTATAAAATTTTCTGGAGTAAAAGCACAAAAAAATAAACTTTTCTTACTGCAAAAGAAAATGAAAATACAAAAGTGAGATATCCTTGCACTAGAGTTTTGACTTTTGACAAATGGTTTTGTACGCAAATCCTTTAGTTTTAGTATAAATCTTATTCATTATAGGGTTGCTGATTTTTCACACAAAATAAAATAAAGAAATTAGAACAAAAAAGTTATAGCAATCCTGAAATACCTTTCAGGCTTGCAAGAAACAAGTCATATGAACAAATAGTCCTATAAACTCAACAAGTAGTCCAATATCTTGTCATGATGGGCACTCACCAAACAGCAATAAGCATGCCTGCCAACTGCCTAGATCCAGCACGTTCAAATCTTCTCAGTGGATGCAATTGTTTTCTCATCAGACCTTTTGACTTTCTTTCCATCATATCATGCAAAGCATCATCTATCATATCCAACCACCACTGTCCAATAGCACTCCCGTCAATCCCCACCTGTGGTAAATAGGAGAGGTTAGAAAATGATTATAAATAAAGGGTTGAAAAACGGAATTTGTATGCAGAACTCATTGTATATAGCACAATAATTATCCCTTTATTTTGTGAACATGTAGCTTCAATAATATATTTATAGTTATGGTTAAAATTGCAGGCATTTCTGGGGAAGATTTTAATCCTTCTTTTCTATAATTTCTATTTTCATTCCTGCTCTCCTTCTTGGCCATAGTTCCTTTTAGGAAAGGTCCATTACAAACTCCCAGACTGAACAAATTATACATACAGATTAGTTTGATAGGGAAAATACTGCAGGCTTTATAGGAAGGCAAAAATTAAACCTGCATCATTCCAGCTGATATTAAACTAACTAAAGTTATAAGTCCTCTGTCACCTTTAGTATTTCTGCCCCATTGCTAAAGATAGAAATTGATTTCAGCATAAAGTGGTCACTCTGCCGTATCTCTGAATGGAAAAGTAACTAAACACGAAGGCTTTCCAAGAAAACTAAATAATAAACATAAGTTGCTTAGGTATCTAGTTCTTTTTTCTTTTCCATATTTCTTCTTAATCCTCTTCCTTGGAAGCTCAACTTTCCTGTTTCAACTACTAGATCCTTGGCTTGTTTAAGCAAATGACAACAGTGAATCATAAAACTTGTCCCTGACTCTATGTTTGGATCAATGTTAGATAAGGGAAAGGAAAGGAAAGCAAGGGAAAGGATCCCCTTTCCCTTGTTTGGACCATTTATGTAAGGGAAAGGATGATCCAAACAAGGGAAAGGTTAAATTTTAATTTCCTCAATTTGGCGGGCAAAGCTAGGGAAAGGAAAGTGAACATCCTCATTTTCTTCTATAAATCATTTTATGAAAAGGTTATAATTGTAAAAATACACTATAATTAATCATATTCTTTCCTTTCCACAGCTTAACCAAACAAAAATTAATAAAATAACTTTACTGTCCTTAAATAATTTTACCTATCCAAACAAGATAATATGCTACACTCTCCTTTCTTTAACCTCCCCTCTTTTATTTAGCCTCCCTTTCTTTTCTTTTACTATTGTTAATCCAAACATAGTGTGTAAACGCCCCCACCCCCTTCTTTTCATTCTCACAAGTCTGTGCAATGATTTATAATTACCCTTGAACCTAACATGCACCTTTCCTCTTTATTACTAGTAACATAAGACAGATGCATTCCACCTAACACAAGCTATAAGGTACAATTGATCTACAAAACATTTTGTCCTACTGAAACCCAGACATTCCAATCCTTGCATGATTATGTTATGAAACAGCATTTATTTAACATGTGTTGCTGACTCAAAGAGATCACGTTCTACAGAAATCAATACAGAAACTGAGGCCCATTCTTTGTTTCTGAAACACTAAACTCTACAATCATAATGCTAAGCTCATACAGCATTAATGCCCTGCAAACCACGAAGAAGATATCTTACAGATTCTCGCACTGCAGACATTGCAAGAAAACCAGCACCCATTTCAACTTCTTGCAATCCAATAACAATAATTCCAACGTCTGAAACAGCCGAATGTAGCCAAGACTCAAGCGAGCTCTTAGATGCTCGACCCTGCCCAACATTCCATGTACCAGTTAAGATAGTTAAATTTTCTATCCTTGTATAGAGAAATCCTTTTGCAGTCAATTCTGAATACAGTATGCCATCAAGAGCTCCAGGGGATGTGATACTCCATCCACGTATCCCACCATGCTTAGCCAGGGTGTAAATATAACCAGCACCAGTGGCCATTGTCAGTACAGAACTGTTGTGAGCAACCCATTCTCCAAGCTTATTACCATCAAGGTCTAGAGTATGGACAATACCACTAGTATAACCCACCCATATTTTTGATCCAAAACTGCATAAGCATAGAACAGCAGAAGAATGAAGCTGAATATCTTGAATACGATTTCCATTTCCATCCCACTGGATGAGCAAGCCATTCGCACAACCAACCCAAATCATCCCATCAATAGTTATAGTGAGTGCTTCAATCTTCCGGCTATCATCAACAAAGCCCCCTTTTGCTGCAACTCGGCGAACAGCATCGGCTGCTCCCATGATAGCATTACGTGACTGCTGAAAGAAACCAAAGGAACTTTGTGTTTTTTCCTTCTTTGTACTTGTAACAACCTTCATCTTTATCTCATCTTCCACAGAAAAATCTGGAACTAATGACAAATCTGCTCTATTTTCAATTTGACCATCAATGTTGAAAACTTTGAGTAAATCCCTCGTACGAGCATCCCTGAGATTTTACAATTCTATCAAAACCCAACAAAAAGAAACAGAAAAGGAGAAAAAATAAATATATGAAACTCATTTACAAGAGCAGTGTGAAGCAAAATAAAGAAAAATAACTAGAAATTCTAATTGTGCAACATGTTTTCGTAACCTCAAATATCTAAAAAGTAAACAAGAATACATTAAGAATCTCTAAATCCTCCTAGCCTACAAACAGGAACAGCATACAATCAACATCTGGGATAAAACTCAACTGATCTGCTAATTATAATTTCAAAAGCCATCCCCATATTTGGACAGAAAATTACAAGTTTTAACAACTCCACTCCACACGTCACAGTAAATCCTTTCATGTCACATTTTTCACAAAAATGAGACAATTATCTCCTTATCTGTCACAGTTTTGACTTTTGATTTCATTACAAATATTAAATGGCGATAGCCTTTTTGTCATCGGAATAACTTCTTCCGACACTTTTAAGCGGTCAAGGGGTGATGATGGCTGGTTGAAATATTTAATAACAGATTAAAGTGAGCAGAAGAACAGTGTATTAGCGAGGTACAAGGGTCCACATATAAACTAACAATAAATGGGTTGAAGGCCTATATAGCTTATTATTTATCAAAGAACCACACATATAACAAAATAACTTTGTTAATTTTAAGGGTGCAGATTTCATGGTTTAGACATACCACAATGCAAAGGAAAGATAGCCAGAACTCCATACTTTAGCTCGAATATTATCAGACAGAAGGCACTTGATATCTGAATTTAATATTGAACTGAAGCCATTTACAGCGATTTGACTCCTAAGATCAATAAATGATCTCCCCATTAACAAAGAAGTCATATGCCGTTCTTCCATTGTCAAAGAGAGTGCATTTTGAATATCTTCCCATGGCCAAATCCTGATATTACCCCCTTCTGAACCAGACCACAGATCCCCTGAACCACAGTGAAACAAAAACAAAAATTACAGAAAAAGTCAAAAGATATCATCACTCTTACCGGTAGATGCAGGCAGCAATTGTAACAGGCAACTTGGGGTAGAGATGCAGAAACAGTTCTCAAAGAGACATTCTGCTCTTCTTGATATCTATATTTTAGGGTTTTATGAATAAACAGTTTGTCATGAATTTCCAGAAATGAAATTCTAGATCTTTTCTCCTTGCTTTTCAGAATTAAAATTGGAAAAGGCAAAAAGGCAAGATGATGACAATTAAAACTTCCAAAATTTAAAAATATGCTGATGTATTCTTAACCAACCGTCCATCAGAATAGCATGTAGCACATTTCTTGTAAATGTTTATAGCAGTAGATCCACATTAACAGGAACAAAAAACAAAAACCGTAACATATCAGTAGTAGAGAAAAAGCAAAAGTGTCAACAGACCGTAAGAAGTGAAAACCATGGACAGCACTGGGCCTCGATGAGCCTGCCAACACCACCCTTCCTTAAACCCACCACTCTCACAATCGATCTTCCACCCTCTGATCTTTCCATCTCTATGCCCGCTCCAAACCACTCCATTCCCCACGTCCTGCACTATACAAATCACCGCTGCATCCCCAGTCCCATTTGATGATATCGCCAATGATTCCCTAAACGGCGCCGCCGCCGCCTCCTCACCTTCCTCGTACAAATCTTTCAATTCCCAAACCCTAACCGCCCCGCTCTCGCCGCCCGCCCAAAGTTGCCGGTCGGTGCAGGCGATCGTTTTCAGAAAGCATCCGAATTGGGTCTCCCTGAGGGGGTGCGGTCGAACCTCGAGGTAGGGAGGGCGATTAGGGTGGAGGGGTTTGCGCTCAGGCAGCGCGAAAATGCCTTGGCCGCCGCCTTTAGCGACAAACTCGGGCATGGAGGACTTGTGACGAGAAGATTGTTGAGGTAGAAGATTGCGGTCAAGGAATTGGATCATGTAGTCAAGGCGTCGGTTGGTGGAATGGAGGGAAGGGTAGGGCGGCTGCGAGTCGTCGAAGGAGGAGGAGGCGTAACGGTCGAAGATTCTGGGACTGTGATTGGGGATGTCGTCGTTAGGGTCCATGCCGGAATTCATGGTAATGCCAGAACACCTAGTAGAGAAGCAACGAATCAGGAGAAAAGTGACTTGGGGGAGACAGTTAACTAGTTAAATAGTTAATTACGCTTTCAGGCGGAACTACAATTTCAGTGTTTTTCCTTCGGATAAATTACACTAAACAGTACACGTTACTTCTTAAAAGATATAATTAATTCGCTAACATATATACTTCTTACAAAAAGAACTTTGGTTCAATAAAATAAAAATCAACTATTAATTCCGCAATTTGATAAAAAAATGTTTGTATATAAATATAAATATATGAAAATATAAAATATTATTATACTTTAAAAAATCATTTTAAAAATCAACCTATATAAATAATAAGGTATGTGTTTTTTTAATGATAATAAAATATATGATAAGTGTTTATACATTTTAATAATAATAATAATATATTTGTACAATTATCATAAAAATTGTGGCATATGAATAGTTTTGGATTTAGTTTTTCTTATCCATTTGATATTCAATACATAATTAGAGACCTTTTGGATAATCGATGAGTTTAATTTTAGAGAGACTAAAACATAATAATAATAATAGCAACGACACTAGTTATTGTATCGTAATTAAGAATAATGGTATTTAAATTTATGTCAATGTGATAAGCTTAGAATAATGTTTACTTCCAATGACAAACTAGCTTAATATTGACACATTATTTGATATAATTACATAAATTCATTTTGAGAAAAATATTATTTAGAATTAAGGAAATAAAAATTATACAACTGTAAATAAAGAAAATTTAAAGTTAATTTAAATCAACTTAAAAAAAAGTTTCAAAGAAATTGAGGTAGATATTGCAGTCGAATATGACATGAGAAAAAATATTTTAAAAAAAGGTAGATCTAGAGTTTGGGGAAAAAAGTGAACTTTGATCGTTCAAAAATATAAAATTAGCATACCTACCGGGAGTAGTACGCACGTCTTAAATTCTAGGCTCTCATGACATGACATGAGATGCAAATAATAGACCAAGAATTTGAATGCAACGTGTCAATAGCATATAATTAATTTATGTTTCCGGCCTGTAAGTTCAACTACAATGTATTATTTTTTAATCGTGTCGATACTGTTCTTTCTTTCAAGTCGGCTGAGCCAAAACAAAATTTGAGGTCTGTACTTTACCTAAAGAATCACTGCCTCCTCTACAAAAATATTGTTCCACACAAATTCCACAATTCTAAAGGATTAGGCAATGTGATTTAACCAGATCAAAGTTGAATACCTGGAGAGCTAATTCGCTAAATTTAATAATCTCACCAGCGCCAGCATTTTTCAAAAATACCCACACCACCATAAGCAGAGGAGAATTCTCCAGGTCAATTCTCTGTTCAGTGTCCACTTAGACAAGCTTCTTCTCTGAACCAGCAGCAGCCACGCGCTGACGCTTCCTCCAAGCCGGGATTTTACCAGGGAAAGCCCATCTTAACAACCTCTCCCACGCATAGCAGCCCAGAAACATCGTTAGAGCCCACAGCAAGAGCTTATCCCTCAAACCCGTCGGCAAAGGAACCAGGCTCAACCAATCATTCAAGTCCCTAAATAGATCAGAAGTTATGACCACAAAGAACCCCGATGCAGCTCCAAGCGCATACAAGAAAGGTTTGTTTTCGGGGATGCTCTGGTTGAAAGGATGGCCCATATAGTTCACTGCAAACGTTGCCACCTGAAGCATCATGCTCACCATGTACGAAACCGTGTTCACTAGATTAGGGTGAAACCCAGAGTCTGGCTCAATACATTCCTCAGGCATGTACTTCTCAGCCTCTTTCACAGAATAAATCAAGAAAAGCAGGTGCATTGCAAACTGTCCCATGAGAGAAAGGAAGACATAGAAGCAGAAAATATTTGGGTGGGGCCGTGCAGCAGAAAGGGTGGGCAGCGGGCGAGCATGTGAGATGAACAGGAAAAAAGCAGCTGTAAATACACCGCTAATCGTTGCCTGGATGTCACCCAGCTTGACGCCATCCAAGTACATCACACTTAAAACATAAGCCGTAGCAAGGCAGTTAAGGCCGAGTATCTTGAACATCTGAAGGGTAGTCACAAGGGTGCTGCGTCCTTGACGAATTATGTCAGTAGTTGGAGCAACTGATGCATGCTTTGCTGTAAATGGTGATGCCATCGAGGCATCCCCCAGTTTGACAATAGGAGCTGAGCGACCATCACCCTCCTCATTCAGCTCATCCATCATCTTCTTCAGCTTCTGTCGTTGCTTCTCAGCAGCAGTAAGATGTCGATTACTGGCTGTAAGGTTGCTAGATTCTGATCTGGTGGCAACTCTTCCTTTCGAAGAGGCTTCTGAACTGCCTGTTGCTTCTACACTGGGTTTCGATTTCTTCGACTTCAAGGATTTTGTGCTTCCATCTTTAGATGTTCCCGATGAAGAGCTTTCACTTTTAGTTGGAGGCACTGCGTTCAATAGAGCGACACCTACATGGGCCTGAACAAAAGGTAGGGTGTTACAAACGGGTAGAAGAACATTTCATACGAAAATACAGATACAAATTGTTAATAAGACAAAGCCGTCCTTAGGAGAGAAGAAAAAACATCTTATTCTATCAATATAACCAGAAAATTGTAAACATTGTAGTTCTGCAACTAAAACCCAAAATAATAACAAAAAGCTTTCATGTATATTGTAAATTTATTTAAAGAAATTGTATAAACCTGACATGCATTTACAATAAAAACTAGAAAAAATTTGGAACTTCAATTTAACTTCATCAGGACCACATAGAAAAAGATAAAAGATACAGATCCACCTCATAGCCAAAACAACTGACTGACCAAATTAATCCTACAAGGTATCCAGACAGATGGTAATAAAGAAAAAAAAACTGTCTGGGACAGCTCATAGAACAGATCCTGTCAACTAGTTCAGGCTTAATTGAGCTGATCCCTATATGATTGGTTTTCTTTTGGTTAATGGGTAGATTGACAACTGATGGCAATCGATACATGGTGCTAAATACGGATGCAAAAATATTTTCACAAACCTAAAAGGCCTTAAACATAATGGTTGCACAATAAACATGTTAAAACATCACCTGCTTAAGAGATAAATTAAGAAACCAACAGTTGTAGTAAAATATTACCTGCTTAAGAGCTCCAACATCATTGGTCCCATCACCACACATTAAAGTCAACCTTCCCACTGTCTTGAAAGTGGTCATGATAAGTTCTTTCTGCTCTGGAGCAACTCTAGCAAAAACCTACAATGACATTGTGATGTCAATAACTAGGGCAAAGTGATGCAGAAAACCAATAACAAATAGATGGTAGAGTTGCAACCTTAACAAAAGGAATCACTCGTAAAATAGCACAAGTCTCTTGTAACATTTCAACGCAGTCACCTCCAATACAAAGATCATGAGTCTCAGACAAAGCTTCAACCTCGTTCTCACTGATATCAGGTAAAATCCTTTGATCAGTCAACTAGAAGAATGAAAGGTGGAGTTCAACACACCTAATCAGCAATTCAATGACTATTCCAGAAAAGAAATAGTATTATCAAAACAAGATATACAGGCCCGGAGAAGAACCTAGATATATATATATATATATATATATATATATATATAGGAATAACAGGTCTCATTAAAAAACCCCTTCTTGATTAATGGAGCTTGAACTCCTAGATATATATATGGAAGAACCAATATTTATGATGGGCAAGTTTCAGAATTTAAACCAAGTAAAAACCTAGAGGGAAATTATATGTCAGAAAAAAGCAGTAACCCAAGAAAGATAACCTGTAGGGAATCCTCTCCGTCTCATCTGGTGATACCCATTCGTAAACTTTACTATTCTTCACTGCACCAAGAATCAATGCTGGTTTAGACACAATATGAACTTGGCCAGCAACATGGCAAGCTGTCAAGGCTTGATCACCAGTTATCATCACCTAAAATTAAGAAAATTTGTTTTCAGAGAAACACAAAGTTAAGTCCCCAATCTAGGAATTCACCACTTAGGGAAGGAAGGTGAGATAGTAATGCATACAGGCACACTTGAGATAGTAATGCATACGGGCACACTTGAGATAGTAATGCATACAGAGCACACTTGCAATTGCAAGTATTTTCCACTAGCCCTAAAACCCCCCACAGTGATATGTTACACCAATGGAACAAAGTATTTCCCGTTCTCAAAGGAAAACATGAATCATAGGAAAGAACAAATCGAACATGGAAAACAGGGAGATTGGTATTGATCAAATCGGTTCTATCCTCATGCCTACGTATTTTTTGTCTATGTTCAAGATTCCAGCTTCAATCCTTAAGTCTCTCAATTCAATTATGTCTAATTTTTTATGGGGAGGGGGCAATGGTATAAAGAAGATACAATGGGTTAAATGGGATGATGTCTACAGATCAAAGAATGAGGGAGGCTTGGGAGTTCGGAATCTGATTTGTATGAACAGAGCACTACTAGGGAAATGGTCTTGGAGGTTTGCAAATGAGAGAAGCTCTGTTTGGAGGAAATTTATATGTAGCAAATACAAAATTGATTCCTCAAGGTTACTGTTTGATAGAAAGATTTCACCTCAATCTTCCTGGTTATGGAGAACACTGGTTAACAACCATTACAAGCAAGACTCCTTTGGTTCTAAGTTTCTTAGTTTGTGCAGTTTTCATGTTGGAAATGGTAAGCATGTTCGATTTTGGCAAGACAGTTGGGCTGCTGATTATCCGTTCCAGATTTTGTTTCCTAGACTGTTTTCGCTTTCTACTAATAAATATGGTAAACTTTGTGAGTTTGGGGAATTTCTTTCATCGGGCTGGATTTGGGATGTTCAAGTAAGAAGAAATTTAAATGATTGGGAGCTTGAACAATGGTGTAATTTGGTGAGCATCATTTCTTCTTTTTCTCTGTCTAAAGATTCCAGTGATGGTTTGATTTGGAAAGGCAGTGGGGATGGTGTTTTTACAGTCAGTTCTTGTGTTAAGAGGTGTGCATCAGGTTCAGAAGATGTTCATTTCTGGAATAAAATTGTTTGG